TGCTGGAGGAATGGTGGTTGGACGGAGGGGAATGAAGCCTGAGAAGGGGCTGCAGCTGGAGGGAGACCTGACGATGGGGGGATGATTGGGCGGCCCGGAAGCTGCTGCAATTGCAGTCGGTCAGAGCAGGAAGGCAGCAGCTCTGACCGCTGCAGATCTGAGGTAAGGCTACAAGCAAACCCACAAGCAAGCAGCTCAAATAAACAAAGCTGCAGCAAACCAACAGATGACCAAGCCTGCAATTAAACCCACAAGCAAACCCACAAAGCATGGATTGCCTCATATAACCAAAGCCAATCTGAAACTAAAACTGAAACTGCAACAATAGAAAACAAACCAGCTCACAAGCTCACAAGCAACCAAGCTCAATGACAAACTTAAACTGAAAAACCAAACCTCACAAATGTGCATAAAAAACAAGCTAAAAAACAAGGACAGTGCTCAAATAACCCAAATCCAATCTTTTTCACCCAAAAGCAACCAAAAAATGACCCAAATCCAATCATAAGTATATATAACCAAGGTAGGGGCTCAGATATAGGCTGCAGCAAACCAACAAATGACCAAGCCTGCAATTAAACCCACAAGAAAACCCACAAAGCATGGATTGCCTCATATAACCAAATCCAATCTTTTTCACCCAAAAGCAACCAAAAAATGACCCAAATGATGGAGGAGAATAACATCAAAACCAAAAAAATAGACTGCAACAAACGTAGCAACCCAGTGACCTCCAGCAACAAAATCCATTTGCAACCAAGTTTAAAGCACAAGCTCACAAGCAAACCCACAAGCACAATGCAAAGCAACAAATGATGTAGGAGCATAAAGTCACCAGCACAACCACGTCCAACAACTCCCAACAAATGACCAGCCAGGAGAATAAAGTCACCAGCACAACCACGTCCAGCAACTCCCAACAGCAGCCACAAAAACATCAAAAACAAGCTCAAAAACAATCTCAGTGCTCAAATAACCAAGGCCGCAACAAACGAAGGCTGCAACAAACCAAGAAATGACCAAGGCTACAAGCAAACCCACAAGCAAGCAGCTCAAATAAACAAAGCTGCAGCAAACCAACAAATGACCAAGCCTACAATTAAACCCACAAGCAAACCCACAAAGCATGGATTGCCTCATATAACCAAATCCAATCTTTTTCACCCAAAAGCAACCAAAAAATGACCCAAATGATGGAGGAGAATAACATCAAAACCAAAAAATTAGACTGCAACAAACGTAGCAACCCAGTGACCTCCAGCAACAAAATCCATTTGCAACCAAGTTTAAAGCACAAGCTCACAAGCAAACCCACAAGCACAATGCAAAGCAACAAATGATGTAGGAGCATAAAGTCACCAGCACAACCACGTCCAACAACTCCCAACAAATGACCAGCCAGGAGAATATTTCACCCAAAAGCAACCAAAAATGACCCAAATGATGGAGGAGAATAACATCAAAACCAAAAAATTAGACTGCAACAAACGTAGCAACCCAGTGACCTCCAGCAACAAAATCCATTTGCAACCAAGTTTAAAGCACAAGCTCACAAGCAAACCCACAAGCACAATGCAAAGCAACAAATGATGTAGGAGCATAAAGTCACCAGCACAACCACGTCCAACAACTCCCAACAAATGACCAGCCAGGAGAATAAAGTCACCAGCACAACCACGTCCAGCAACTCCCAACAGCAGCCACGAAGACATCAAAAACAAGCTCAAAAACAAGCTAAAAAAAAGCTCGGTGCTCAAATAACCAAGGCCGCAACAAACCAAGGCTGCAACAAACCAAGAAATGACCAAGGCTACAAGCAAACCCACAAGCAAGCAGCTCAAATAAACAAAGCTGCAGCAAACCAACAGATGACCAAGCCCGCAATTAAACCCACAAGCAAACCCACAAAGCATGGATTGCCTCATATAACCAAAGCCAATCTGAAACTAAAACTGAAACTGCAACAATAGAAAACAAACCAGCTCACAAGCTCACAAGCAACCAAGCTCAATGACAAACTTAAACTGAAAAACCAAACCTCACAAATGTGCATCAAAAACAAGCTAAAAAACAAGGACAGTGCTCAAATAACCCAAATCCAATCTTTTTCACCCAAAAGCAACCAAAAAATGACCCAAATCCAATATATAACAAAGGTAGGGGCTCAGATATAGGTAAAAAATAAAAACATGGATTGCCTCATCTAACAATGAAATTACAATGTAAATTGCAATTACATGGATGGATTGCCTCACCTAACATTGTAAATACAATGTAGGTTGCAATGGCATCCTAGATTGCCCTACCTAAACATTATAAAATCATTGTAGATTGCATTCTCATAATAGGACTATCATCATTGCCCAAATTGAAAAGTACCTAATAGCCATACCAATACATAACGTGCAATGTAGGTTGCTATCAAGTATCATATTCATCCATAATAATAATTGGTGAATATAAGTATTTTTGGTGAGCTTAACCCCCATAAAAAACAAATACAGTTGTATTTACCCTTCAAGCAAGCACACAACAATAGATAAAACTTTGAGACTGAAACATAATCTGGCCCAAAGCATGGTCTCATATAGATGTTAGCTCAGTCAAAGTCATCAGCACAACCACGTCCAGCAACAAATGATGGAGGAGAATAACATCACAAATTAGTGGAATATGCAATGAGCTTACAAAATCAGTTGTGTATTATGTCAAGTTTGCAAAAGTCGTGAAATATGAAGTATTTCAAAAGACAAACCCAAATTATGACCTCCTAGAATCCTTGCTCGTTGATAATCTTCTCTATGAATAGCTTTTGAGAATTTTTTGTTTTGATGATCAACCTCCTAGATTCGGATTCATGATCATACAAGTAATCAAGCACTTTGTCCAATGTATCCTCGGGAAACTCATTGGAATGCGCCATTAGAGCATTGGCCATTGTCTCACTCCAATGTATAATGCGTTGATGTTGAATTGAGTATGACATGGACTCTATGAAATCGCGCGTGAGAGACTCATCCTCTTTGGCCTTGCTACTTTTCTTTTTATGATGTGATGCACCACTTGAAGTATGAGCTACCCCACTTGATTTTTTCATTTTTTGGGTTTGAGGGTTGTTGAAGTCATTATGTGAGGTAAAGGACACATCAACCTCATTATCACTAAGATCGACATGCTCCTCGTCAGCTATTAAAACATGTTGTTTAGAGCCTAGCTTTTCAGTCATATCTTTGGTGAGATCACCCTTTGCTTGGTCATCTCCCGCGATGCAACACAAGTTATCATAGTGAATGAGAGGAGTGTTCAGATACTCCTTCAACCTAGAGCTATTGCATTTTTTGTCCTGTATAATGGAATATTATATAATCAGTATAGTAATATAATAGGATTTTTGGTTTTTTAAATTAGGATAAATATTTACATGTGTCCACCTATCAAAACAATCTGGATCCATGGTGACTATCTTTGTTTCTGGATCATAACCAACCCCACTCATGTTCATGACAGTGCACATATCAAAATATTTAGCCTTCAAGCACTTGACATGATTCATGACTTGCTCCTTCGTGTATTCAGTCAAGCACTTTCTGTTGACCTCTTCTGCAGCTCTTCGATATGCAAGCACTTTAAAATTTTTGTCAACTTTGAGACCATCCTTCGCCATTTGAGCAAGAAAGGGGATTAACACATCATCATGCTCTGAAGTCCATTTAGCATTAGGCACACCTCTTGTATTCTCTTTTTGATTCAAGACTTTTGGTTGCATTTTCCCTTAGCATTTGCCTTCTTCTTGCGTTTGCATGGTGAGGTAGCCTCATCTTCTAGATCAATTGAAAGTGGTCTCTTTAAAGAATGAGCCTCACCGGAGTAGGTTCCGGGTGAAGTATTCATAATTGGGTGGCCACTGTTAAGCATATTCATAAATGACATAGGTTGTTGAGTCATAAATGAGTAGCCCCTATCATAGGGATTGTAAGATGGATAAGGTGGAGGAGGGAATGGTAGTGTAGTGGGTGGTGTAGTCCTTGCTCGTGGATAATCTTCTCTATGAATAGCTTTTGAGAATTTTTTGTTTTGATGATCAACCTCCTAGATTCGGATTCATGATCATACAAGTAATCAAGCACTTTGTCCAATGTATCCTCGGGAAACTCATTGGAATGCGCCATTAGAGCATTGGCCATTGTCTCACTCCAATGTATAATGCGTTGATGTTGAATTGAGTATGACATGGACTCTATGAACTCGCGCGTGAGAGACTCATCCTCTTTGGCCTTGCTACTTTTCTTTTTATGATGTGATGTACCACTTGAAGTATGAGCTACCCCACTTGATTTTTTCATTTTTTGGGTTTGAGAGTTGATGAAGTCATTATGTGAGGTAAAGGACACATCAACCTCATTATCACACAGATCGACATGCTCCTCGTCAACTAAAACATGTTGTTTAGAGCCTAGCTTTTCAGTCATATCTTTGGTGAGATCACCCTTTGCTTGGTCATCTCCCGCGATGCAACACAAGTTATCATAGTGAATGAGAGGAGTGTTCAGATACTCCTTCAACCTAGAGCTATTGCATTTTTTGTCCTGTATAATGGAATATTATATAATCAGTATAGTAATATAATAGGATTTTTGGTTTTTTAAATTAGGATAAATATTTACCTGTATCCACCTATCAAAACAATCTGGATCCATGGTGACTATCTTTGTTTCTGGATCATAACCAGCCCCACTCATGTTCATGACAGTGCGCATATCAAAATATTTACCCTTCAAGCACTTGACATGATTCATGACTTGCTCCTTCGTGTATTCAGTCAAGCACTTTCTGTTGACCTCTTCTGCAGCTCTTCGATATGCAAGCACTTTAAAATTTTTGTCAACTTTGAGACCATCCTTCGCCATTTGAGCAAGAAAGGGGATTAACACATCGTCATGCTCTGAAGTCCATTTAGCATTAGGCACACCTCTTGTATTCTCTTTTTGATTCAAGACTTTTGGTTGCATTTTTCCCTTAGCATTTGCCTTCTTCTTGCGTTTGCATGGTGAGGTAGCCTCATCTTCTAGATCAATTGAAAGTGGTCTCTTTAAAGAATGAGCCTCACCGGAGTAGGTTCCGGGTGAAGTATTCATAATTGGGTGGCCACTGTTAAGCATATTCATAAATGACATAGGTTGTTGAGTCATAAATGAGTGGGTAGTGGAGGGAAAGGTAGTGTAGTGGGTGGTGTAGGACCCAGAAAGTATGGATAAGGGGGTGTTGTAGGTGTTCTAGGTGAAGGAGTATCCTTGCATTTATCACTGTCATCAAAGTCTCCCATGCCTGATTGCTACAAATTAGAACATACAAATATCAAAAGTTAAACCTTATGTTAGTACAATAACAGTTAGCAACAAATGAAAATACAATTCATAAAGAGAGTATACAATAATCTTCCCACATTTCAATTCATAAAGAGAGAATACATTAATCTTACCACAAAATTCAAACCTTATAGTCTAAAATAACATAAGTTGGTACATATAACTTAAATTACATCCCAATCTCGGTTGTGTCCCCACCACGATATTTATTACAATAATCATGCCACATTTCAACTGAACGAATACATAGAGGTAGTAGACAATATATCAACGAGTACAATAATACATGGAACATATAACTTAAATTACATCCCAATCTCGGTTGTGTCCCCACCACGATATTTATTACAATAATCATGCCACATTTCAACTGCAATTTGATCCCTCTTTAACCTCCACTCATTTCTTGAATCTCTTTCCTCTCTTTGTGTCATAGTTTGACTAAAGTCAACCACACCATCTTCATCCTCATTAGCTATTTCGCCAACATCATCTTCAATGAAATTTTCCTCATGCAACAACTCATCTCCCGGATCTTCTATGGCGATGTAGTTATGAAGTATAGTACATGCAATAACTATATCAACTTGAGTTGAAAAGGGGTAATGTGGCTTCGCAGATAGGATTTTAAAATGATTTTTCAATACCCCAAAAGTTGATTCAATTTTAGACCTTAGAGATGAGTGTCTTAAATTGAACAACTCTTGTCTATTATGGATTGGCCTACCCTTGTGCTCGTTTAAATGATAACGCACTCCTCGATAAGGGGAGATAAAGTCGGGCATAGTAGTGTAGCCCGCATCACACAAATAATATTTTCCTACAATTACCAAAAATATATTTAGTAAACTTCTTAATTTAAATTAAATGCACAGAATGTATTTGTTTGATTTATCACCATTGTAAACTCTCAATCCGCGAGGTTGTGGTCTAGATAGTGCATCTTGCAAAACTCTATAATTATTTGCGGATCCCTCCCATCCAGCTAGAACATACGAAAATAACTTGTTGGGAGTGCCTGCAGCTAGAACATTTTGAGTTACACCTTTACGTCCTCTAAATCGTGTAACAAGGTTAGCGGGAAGCATGGCGTCGATATGGGTTCCATCAATCATGCCAATGCAATCCTATATGATATATTAAACAATTATTAATAATAAAAAAATAAAAATACGTGGTGTGTTATAATCAGTTTACTTCTCTTAGATTACCTTGAAATAAGGATAGTACAACGGGTTGGCGGCAATTTCTGACGATAATTCATTTGGTGCTTGCTTCATGTATCGCCCTCTTAAATGCCCCACTGCTTCCAAGCACTTGTTAAAGTATTTTGAAACGGTTTCCCCCGATCTTATGAAATGTGACCTAACAATTCTATTTTTTGTTTTATGGCCCAATATATTAAGGAACATGAGCAATTGCTCTTCTACTTTAACATCACGTGAATCTTGTAGTAGGCCGGTATATCTCATTATGCTAACAAGCTTTTCAAATGCGTGTGGCCTCATTCTAACATAAGACCTACAACTCTCGTTGAAGCCATTGAACACACGACTTATGTGCCTAGCTCTAGAAACTATCTTCTCTTTTTGGCCTGTGTTAGGGTGATAACTGATTGATTTCCTTCGACTACGTCTCCTCATTAAACAAGCAAACACACAAATGACCGCAGAGATAGTGGCATTAGAAGCCATCCTCACTAGCATTTCTTCATCAATATCGTCCATCTACATGGAAGTTCAATATACACGTTCAACTTGATTTTCACCTAAATTAAAACACGCAAAAAGTAGTTGTAATAAAAAAATATCTAAAACGTGAGCATAAGTAACTTTTGATGTCAAGAACAAGTCAATGCATACCTATTCAAATGAAGTGATTTTGTTTTATACTAAATATTTTGCTTGCATTTTTTAGTACAAATTCATTGTCAAAATCAAGTGTGTCAATAATGCAAATTTATACCCATACGCATGCCTGAGTTCTATTAATACAAGATGACATCTTTAAATCAACACATGAGTTTCCTTAATATTATATACATCATTTACAGGTTTCAAAATCTAGTATCAAATTTTTTTTAATAATCTATGTAAATTGTGAACTCAAAAGTCAAACCAAATACAAAGGCTTATAATCAGTCTAAACCCAACTGAACCCAAATCAATTTCACAAATTGTCGGCATATCACTAACAATGAACTGAATAATTTATCGGTGAATAACATCATCTTGTTTAACAGTTTGTAACAAAGAAAACTCAGAAAACAACATCCTCAGAAAACAAAGCATCGAACTGAAATTCCCAACAGTAAGTAGCCAAATCAAAAGCAACAAACCCAGCAACCCAGACCACGAGCAACAAAATCACAGCCTTCCAGCAACGAAATCACAAGCAACCAAGTTTAAAGCATAAGCCATCATTAACAAGTCAACAAGCCAACCCAAACAATTCCAGCAACAAAGTTTAGACCTCAAGTATTTCGGCACCCAACTGAACCAGAATTAATTTCACAAAAACCCCCATATCAAGTATTTCAAAACCCTAATTTTGAAGGCAAAGGGAGGAGATATACCTGCGTGGTCGGAGAGAGGATCAGTTGGAACCCTAGATCAGCAAGTGAGGTAGCCTTAGAAACCCCAAACCAATTTCAGCAAGTGAGGTAGGCTCAGCAAGTGAGAATAGCCAAAACAGCAGCAAGCCAATAAACTGAGGACCAGGTGGAGTCCGGTGACGTGGTGAGGTTGATGAGAATAGGAGTGTCGTGGAGGCGGAAAAGAGGGAACGAGGCCTAGGGTTTTCGCGCGTAAAAGAGGGAACGAGGCCTAGGGTTTTCGCGGGGAAGAATGAAACGGCGGGAGGTGATGGTATCGGTCAGTTTTAGGCCTTCGGGAGTGGGGCTGCTGAGGTGGACTGGGTATTGTCAGACATCCAACCGAAATCCCAACTCAAAGCTAGGATGTGGGAAATGCTAAAACTTGTCAGATATTTCCTCTTTTAGAATTTCATATCCTATAATATTTTTTGAAACAAACACCGTTTTTGGAATCCCATAACTTAAAAAAACCCATTTTGACATCCTAGAATTTGTAATCCAAAAAAAAAAGCTTGAAACAAACACCCCCTTAATCTATTCATGCGCTTCACGATGACGAGACATTTGGCTATCTTAATAAAGTCATAGTTACTCCCGCAGTTTACCCGCGCTTGGTTGAATTTCTTCGCTTTGACATTCAGAGAATTGGGTAGAAACCACATTGCGTGAACATCCACTGGGACCATCTCAATGCTTTGTTTT